AGTCAGACAGACATTCAAAATGTTTCTGAACTGTTTCTTTTTTCACTATTCCTGTTGATATTTTCCTAAGATACGTGTGTAAGTGTTTGGAGGCAGGAGAGGAGAAGAAGTTTGAATTAAAGGAATGGAAGGAAATCAGTGTTTTAAACATACTGTGAGTTCTCTTATAACATTGTAAAATAGGAAATATTTCCATGTGAGACTCTGTTTCTTAGATGCAAACCCATCTTGTTCAGAACAATTGGGAAGTTTAATTAGTAAGAACTATTCACTATGCAAAGATGGGGATTTGGGGGGAAAATTAATTTAAATCCATTAAAACCAAATGGAGTTCCCTTCCATCATGGCAGCTGTTTTGCACCAAGAGGGGTACCTGATCCTAACTTTCAGAAACAACCTTCAGTTTTATGGGTGCAAACTATAACATATAAGTGTCTACCTGATTTCCATTATTAGAGAGCGGCACACTATCATTTGTGCTCAGAAATAATTGCAGATACAAAATTGTGAAAGGGCTTCACAGCAAGGTAGGATTTCCTTCATGAATGAGAAAGCACAGTCAACACACTGTGTCAGCCAGTCAGTAACACTTTGGTCAGGTTTAAGAGAGAAGTATCAAAATTAGCATCGTTTTTAAGATTTCCAGGTGGTAGATAAATCCAGGGAATACTGCATCTGAGAATGCAAACACACTACCGCACAAAACAAATCTACTGTTCGGTTCCTTATGAATTGAAACTAAGAATCCAGATTGTTAGTCTCCCCTGCATCCTACAATCCTGTCACAGTGGGAGAGTACAATGTAAATAACATTGCCTAGCTTGTTTTGCTCAGTGTCGTAATCTAAATTATTTTCAGTCTTAGAGTTATTATCATCTACTTATGCCAAGTGCTGTGAAGTTGCTGCTTTCGGATTAGACTCTACACACCGGAAAAAGCAGAGCAGCAGCGGGGGATGCGGGAGAGGGATCTTGGGTTGATCGGGTAGAAGCGGGACAAGCAGCTGTTGCTGCTGCTAGGTCCCTTGGTAAAAGCAGAGCGGCAGCGGGGGACGCAGGAGTGGGATCTTGGGTTGATCGGGTAGAAGCGGGACAAGCAGCTGTTCTGCTGCTAGGTCCGGTGGTAAAAGCAGAGCGGCAGCGGGGGACGCAGGAGTGGGATCTTGGGTTGATTGGGTAGAAGCGGGACAAGCATCTGTTGCTGCTGCTAGGTCCCTTGGTAAAGGCAGTATGTGTGTGTGTGGAGGTGGGGGGAGTACTATCAGTGAGTGGAACACCGGAACTCCTACTCACTGTGAGGATCGGAACAAATCCCCATACACACTGTGAGGACACGTGACTTTAAGAATTCAATCTAATATCAAAATTCCCCATGGATCGTTGGTTAAAAGAAGGAACTTTAAAGAGAAAAGTGAGTACTTCAAACTCCAATATTTTTACTGAAACCAGCAAGGAAAATACTGAGGCAGCTCAAGTTAATTATGAAAAATTTCAGCTGACTAATAAGAAACGCAGGTATTGTGAGGACTATTTGGCATTTGGATTCACAAGCAATGGAAATGAAGATGCTCCAGGTGCCCAGTGTGTAGTGTGCAACAAAATATTATCTAATAGTTGTTTAGTACCTGCTAATTTGCGAAGACATTTTGAAACAAATCATCCGGAATACAAAGATAAAGTCATTAGTTTTTTTTAAGCAAAAGC